GTGGTTGTTGCCCTTTCGTTGTCTGTCAGCCTTCTCTGTGGCAAACAGCAATGCTGGCTGGCAGGTTAGATGCTGCTAGAAGTGGTGTTGCTTCAGCCACACATTGTACTGGCAACAAAAAGTTTCTGAGGTTTTACCGCTTGGTAGAGAGACTGAAAACAGAATCTGGACAAATAAACTTCAGTTTTGAGGGAACTGAAGTGTCATTGAACAGAAGGGGTGTTGGGAGGAGAGCTGTGCAGTGGTTTCTTCTGATAATGCCTTCTGGAGGTCAGGCCAAGTATTTGAGTTATAACATTGGCAACCTCTCATCTGCTTGCTTTAAAGATCCGAATAGTTTTATGCTAATGTCAGATACTTACATGTGGATGGCTTTCTTTTCTCTATAAATAATTATGAATGGATTAAGGGTAAGAGGTGAAACACAAGCATTTAAATCCTGTGTTATTTCTTACCTCTGACCTCCAAGATCTGGTGCAGCTCAGTGGATTTCTTGAGGTTCTAAATCTGCTTTTCTTGACTGATTTCTGTGTGGACTAACCCATTAACAAACAGTTGACATAAACAGAGAAGAGCAACAGCCTCCCTTTTGTGTGCTGTTTCTCTGCTTGGAGCAGGGTAGTTAATGCTGCCCAGAACAAGTGGTTTAGAAAGTTCTTTTTTTTTAATGCTTTTTATTTGATTCTTGTTCATCTCTGTTTAAGGAAGCTTTGGGTTTGAGGAGAAGTTGGCCTGTGCTTTTACTTATTGTAATTTGTCTAAGAAACCTTACATTGGAGGCCTTTCTTTTTTCTTTATTTAAAAAAAAAAAAAAACAAACTTAAAACAATAATTGAAAAGCAAAGCTAAATTAAATAATTTTGTCCAGTCCAAAATGTCCAGAGAAGCTTCTTACCAAGTACATAGCTAATGCAAAATAGTATTTGTAAACGTGACAACTCATGTAAATAATGCAGGTGAACCAGAGAATTTGATCAATTTATAAGACTCTGAAAACAAAACTGACCAACAAAAGACTAGTTTGTCTTTTTGCCCAAGGAGACAAAGGTGAAATAATCAGTACACATCTGGGAAGGTAGATTAGGCTCTAAAAGATACGGTCTCTGTAATCTCTTGAGTTGATGGCAACAAAATCAAACTTGATTTTAATCTGATCAGTTGCTTTTTATTATGCAATGGCCATCTGCATCATAAATTATGGATGCAGCAACTAACATTTCCCAGGCATCTGTGCAAAGGATGTGTAATTTAAACTTATTTAATAAAACGTTATCACTTCATGATTAATTGGATTGGCAGATGACACTCATACCTAATAACTCTCAGTCTGTATTACACTATGCTTATTAGACTGCTAATGGATAACAGGTTTAGTCATATGTCAATTAAAAGGATGAGTCGGTTTCATTTATTGCAATTAGATGGTATCCATAAACCATGTTTGCAGGAAGTATCTAAATCACATCATGTATCAGTTGTGTGCGTGGGCTCTGTTACCAACTCTGCATAATCTGGGGGTGAATCAGTTCACGTATGAGAGTTTTGAATCCACATGTCCAGGTTCTGGGTCACACTGTGTTACATGGCACCGTGCTTGATGGTGGGAGGTCTGCCTGGGCAGCAGCATGTAAAGGTCAAGAAGCTGTACAAATAGGAATTTTCAGAACTCTTGATGAAGCCTTTAACAGAAAGTTTTTAATTGCTTTTTTGATTGAAAAACCGAGTTTCTGACAAAGCTTCTCCTGTTTGCTCTCCGGAGGGTACGTGGCAATGAAGCCCAAACCATCTTCCATTCCATCCTGGAGCTTTGCAGTCGAGAGGAGGAACAGATGAGGTGGGGAAAGGAAGCTGGGTGGGAGGGTGGTCCATGTTGTGCGTGGGACAGGCTTAGAGGATGAGATACCAAAGTTTCAAACAGTTTTCCTCATTTGATGGGTGCCACTCATGGTGAATAGAAGGAGTGCTGGGGTGGTGAGACTGCCCTGCCTGCGGGAGGAGCTTTACAGCCCCCCCCTTCCCCCGGAGGATGAATACCAGGGAATCTGCCTGGCAGGAGCTGTCCTGTGTTTGTCCAGTTCCCTTCACAGTGCTTGTGACAGGAGCATCTGGTCAGGCAGGCAGGTGTTGTGCAGCAGCTTTTATCCCAGATAAAAGCATTACTTGAGCTCAGATGCGTTGATGGCAGTAGCTGCAGTCTGGCAGCACGTTGCTGCCAGTGCTGCATGAGTTCAGGGCTTGTGTGCCTCTATGCTGCAGAAAATTACAACGTGCATAAGTAAGAGAATGATCTGTCCACTGTGCTCGTGTTTTTTTTTTGTAGCTACACTGGTTTCTGGCTTTGAAATAATGGTGAACGGGACATATGATAATCTCCTCTCAACCTTTTTCTTTCTGCTCGTCTGGCCATCAAAATCTGGTGTTCTGAATGTGAATAAGATAAGACTCTTCCTCCCCTTGCTTGTGTCTGTTCCTTTTTTGATACTTGCTTAAAAAGTACATTGCCCAACCTTGTACCACCTAACTAATTACTTCTAAGACTTTTTTTTTTTTTTACCAGTGAATAATTAAAATATTGAGCAGAATTGTGAAAGAAATAAAACCTGGAAGAGTCTCTGCCCTTTTGGGAAGGATTTGGCAGAACAGCATTTTCTTGGCTTATTGTTTCTTTTAAAGACACAATATTTGAAGCTTTTGTTGACAATTTTCAATCAATGGTAGAGCCCTGAATCACCTACAGGAAGCTGTAAGAACAGTTGTTGAGTTGTTGGTGTGAGTAGGTACAGTAATCGCGTGAGCAAGATGAGGTTCCTGTCAGGGGCTGTTTGAAATGCTGTGGAAATAATTTCTCCTTCCTTCTCCCTCGCATTCCCTCAAGTTTCAGCATATGGGAAGGTTATTCTGAGATGGTTTTCAGCATACTTAGCTTTGGTAGGTGGAGAAACAGTTCAAAGTGAAAGAAGGTGGGAGGAACTGCTGGGTTATCAGTTTTGCAGCATTAGGTATCTAAGAAATGCCAGTAGCACACAAATGAGAATCCTGCTTAGTGAAATACAAAAGAGACTTTCCTTCAACATGAGGAGAATGAATCCTTCCTTAAAAGCAGTATTTGAGTGCCTCTGTTTGCTCATCTGTTACAGTGGTCTCCAAAGTGCGATGTGCAATGTTTCTGGCGGGTAGGAAGAAAATACCAGTGCCTCAGTAATACATGTATATAATTCATAAAGAAATAAGTATACATATATTGAAGGTGCATGCTCCAACATTTCTTCCTGGTAGCAGTGCGTGATCAAAAAAAATTGGGAGACCACTATCTGTAACTATCCTAGTCATGGAAATAAAGCGTCTCCTTGGTTTGAAAATGTGCAAATGGTTCAGATGTGCAGCCAGGAAACATGTTGCTGGGTTTTGATGTGAGAATGCTTCACCCTTAATTGAAAGGGTGTTTTTTTTTTTTTTACAAGTATCACAGTCAATGACTTGTCTTGAGCAGCTAATTAGTGCGATTATTCCACAGCTGCATTAGTTTCACCACAAAGGTTTTCTCTTGTTTTATCAAAAGGATCAGTGTCTCTGCGAATGTTTCAACCTGACAGGTCTTAAATAGCAAGATGGTCCCCTCCCTCCCTGCCCCCAAAATGTGTGCTCTGGAAAAGCAGAGTTTAATTTCTTGGGGGAGTAAGTGTGGGTTCTCCTTTTTCGTTTCTGCTCTGAACTGTTTTCAACATTTGTCCTAAACAAAGCCAGAAATCTTCCAGCAACTCTGACACTGGTTGCCCAAGCAGAAGTAGCTCTCAGTGCCCGCAGCCTCCAGGCAAGACCTGGAAGAGATGTTGGCTCCTGGACTCCTTTGCAAGCTGTCCAGTCAGCATCCTGCAGGTACCACCTAAACATCAGAGCCAGAGGTGGGGTTTGCAAGAGCAGTCTTCTCCTAGAGCCAGAGGGCTACTGTTGGCTTCCCCAGGCATGGCTTTCCACTGTTATAGACTAACGAGACATTTCTTTCCATGGGCTGATGGCAACCAGCTGCAGCAGTCAGGTTCAGAACCCAAATATCTTGAACTGTACACACTGTAGCTCTTTCTCATCTGGATATATGGAGTCACATATTCTTACCTACTTCAACATCCTTTCCTCGAAGGATGTGTGGCTTGGTACTTACCTACCCTACTTGTTCTGTCTTACTGATGCTAGAGAAATGTCTTAAAAATGGGCTCTTGCTTCTGAGGGCTAACGGGAAGATGGGCTGCTTCAGGAGATGTCCTTGCAGTCCATGGCAAAGTCCTGCGTGTGCATTATGCTGTCTGGTGGGAAGCTCTGCTTGCCATGGCTTAGAAATAGCACTTAGTTGGTGAAGCAGTTCAGTGTGACTGAAAATACAGCGACTATTGTTGTTTATTCTGCCTGTTCTCATATCTTACTGTGCTTGGAAGATGCTGGTAGGCCTGAAGTGGGAGTTGAGTTATTTTGAGTCTGTTTTCTAGCTGTAAGGAATGTCACCACTAGCAAATCCAACCCTGAGGTAGTATTTTGCAGAAAATAAATCAACTTTGTTATGTTTTGCTTTCATGGGAGAGGTAGATGTATGTTATTTATTTATATTTGGGCTAGATCATTAGATCTGGTGTATTACCTATACCTATCGTTAGACTTGATACAACCCTTTATTAATTAAAAAAAAAAAAAAAAAAAAAAGGAATATGAGTGCTTGCTGCTATCTATAAAAGCATTTGTTTTTCTTGTGGGTGGTTGCTGTAAAAATTGAAACAGCAAATACTTCTTTGGGTATTGGCCTTTGGAAATGGTTAGCTGCAGTCAAGTTAAGGCAGCCTAATGTGGCTGCTAAGTACCCGAAGCGGGTCGGCTCCAAAGTCCCCCTCGCGTGGAGCGGTGTGTCCTCACCCATCCCGCCCCGTGTTCTGGTGTAATTCTGCAAGCTCCGACCGCTGGAGCCGCGATCCCGCTTGTGGAAGCTGAGCTGTCTCTCTCTGGTCTTCCCACAGCAATTCCGAGCATCCTGGCGCTTCCAAGCCTCCCTTAAGCTCCTCCAGCATGACCTCACGAATCCTGCTACGCCAGCAGCTCATGCGTGAGCAGATGCAGGAGCAGGAGCGTCGGGAGCAGCAGCAGAAGCAGCAGGCAGCCCAGTTCATGCAGCAGCGAGTACCCGTCAGCCAGACACCTGCCATCAACGTCAGCGTCCCCACCAGCCTGCCCCCCGCCACCCAGGTACCCATGGAGGTCCTCAAGGTACGCCCGTCCCTCTGCCTTGCTGGTTAAGAGCTCTCGCTCCTCTAAACGTACTGTATTTGTTAGGGATTTTTGGCAAAGAAATCCTGCAAACAAGCTGCGCTCTGGCTCGACTTGCAGCTTAGTTTGGTGTCCTGGTAGTGAAAAATGGAAAACCTTTTTGAAAAAGTTGGTGTGACTTCTGTTTTCTTTCAACTTTGAGATCTCGGGAGGAACGTTTTGTTACAAAACTAATGTTTCCATCATTTTCCCTTTGGAAAACACTTCTGCATCTTTATAGTACTTAATTATTTTCAAAAAGAAGACATTATTAATAGATATTTAAATCAATATTTTGTTTTTTAAAAGAAAACAATTAAATATTTTTGTAAAATGGAGTCAAAACTCATTACAAAAGAGCTCCTCAGAAAGCCTTGATCTGAAATACGGGTGAGTTTCCAGCCTCTCGCAACAAGCCTTCGTAATCCCTTTTTTGCTTAAATGACTTGTTTGCTATTAGTAGCTTTGGATTCCTTGTCCTACTGGAAACTGTAGGAGCTTGTTAGTATCCCTCTGTCAGAGGGGATGTAGCTTGCTAATTACTTGGGGAAGAAGGTGAACAGCTATAAGAAAAGAGATAATTTCATGCACTGCGTAGGTCCAAGTAGAGTAAAGCAATGTGAAATGTGTGAGTGAAAGAATGCAAAATGTTTTGGAGAAATTTGCTGACGTATTTAATGAAAATTTAAAATTGTCATTAGGTTTTAAGAGTTATCTATTTGCTCTGCATTATTGCTAAATCTTTTTTTAACAGTCTCATATTTAGTAAATGCTTTCAGTTGGTAAGCATATTCTTACCAGATAAGTTAATTGAGCTTGGTAACAATCCACTTGTAGTTTGCTCATCGCTGTTACATATCAATGATATGTATTCATAGATTTAGTTCTAAAATAGATTTGCAGGCTCAGGATTTCGAGGCAGTCTGTGTGATGGATTTATGGAGGAAATGTAGGGTGCTTTTAGTTATTGAATATGCATTATGGTATTGTGTTGACAGTGCCAAAACTAATACTGAATTGGGACACGAGTCGTACGCAAGTATGGTCTACGATCTAGGAGCAAAAAGGCAACAGTTGACTTTTGAATTCTACCTATATATACACACAGACACGTTTCCACTAAAAATTAAATACGATAGACTTCGAGCATGTGTGCATGTGCATATAGTAAGGAGTCCGAAATAGACTGGGAAGAGCTATTTTGTTGAACATTTGTGAATTATTCACAATGTTGGTGTATAACAGTTTGTTAAACTTGCTTCCAGGTTATAACACCATAGTTATAATTCAGATCCGGCAGATGTATAGGTGCTATGAAATAGTTTTTTGTTTGTAATACACCCAGTTAAATAAGCATACGTTACATTTTTACATCCTTTCATCCTAATATGTTATGATGTGAATTTTAGGAGGTTTTTTTAAACCTCTCTGAAAACTTGGAGGAAAGTGTTTATTATCTGACGATACTTTACTGATAAGGAAGGAGTGTAATCTCTTGAAGAAGCATTAGCAGTTGTCTGTATCGTTCATTTTACAATTGCCTCTATATGAGAGAGGAGGGGAGGCAGCCCTTTATTTCTGAGGGACAAACTACAGAAGACGCTGCAGCTGAAAGGTGATGCTCGGTTATTACAAAAGGGGGTTACTAGGAACAAGCTCATCGGAGGATTTGTATGCAAATCTGTAGCTTGCTGAAGCATTGCTAGGGAACTTCATGTGAAGGACTTGAGCTTGAATCCTTGCCCTTCAGGATTGCAAAGAAGTGTCTGTCCCCATTTCCTCTGGATGAAAGGGGGAGAACACCTTCGCTGCACTCATCTTTGTCTCAAACAGCAGCGTGCATGAGCCCGTAGAGCAAAAAATTAGGAGAATGTATCCTTAACTGGCTTGCAAACTAAAAGTAATAACTGTGAACAACTACCTTTTGTGCATAGAAGGGGATGGCTGTGGAAACGTGAGCTACCTGCTAGAACAAAATGATGCCTGTCTTCTAATCACCTGTACTGACATAAGCAACGGTAAAAAAAGTAGCAAAAACAAGTCCTCTTGGTCTCTGCCCATGAGAGAAGAGAGACTGCTTTTCTTAGTTTTGCTGCTTGTGTTCTTGGGGAGGAAGGCAGCTAAAGATTCAACCTTTTATCCTTACTGATAAAAGTATACCAGTTCTGTACAAAAAAAAAAAAAAAAAAGAGTATGAAACACCAGGCTTGAAGTTATGATCTTGCAGAATATTTACCACTGATGCTTCAGTGAGAGTAGGATTTGGCTGAATGATCCATATAATTTTTTTTAAAATAGATTATTTGGCTCCAAAGATGAGATTAACAATAAACCAGGATCTTCCTGGTGCCGAGATGCTGACAGCCAGCTCTGCCTGCAGTAACACTGGACGAGTGACATCATTTCCCTGCAGCTGCTTTTTACACTTCAGTTGTTTTTTAGCTGTAGACAAATTTTCCATATGAGCTGTACAGAAGTTTTAATTAGAGAAATAGGGAACTAAGTTGGTAACTTTATTATCCAGATGGTCTGGATTTAGTGACCTTAAAGAATGAGATAGACAAAAAGGGTATTTTTACACTTTCAGAAATGTTAATCTGCAAGGCAACTTTCTTTAAAAGAGATCTTTTTGAATATTACTTCACAAACAAAGAAGACCAAATGTAGATTTTTTTTGTTGTTTTGTTTGTTTTGGAATTTAGCATCAAAAAACCGCACTCCAAGCTTGTTGAATTTGTCAATGTTTTGTGTTTTTAATTACATTGTGTGACTTGCCCTTTCTCCCCTATCTCGCATTGTAAGGAGGATAATACTTGTATGTCTAAGGATGGTAGTTTGGAATGACTAGTTTAAAAAGAAGCCAACGGTGTTAATGAGCTTGGATTTTATATTTGTTTTCAAGATGTTCATTTAGAAACAATACAGAAAGAAAGAGAAATACATATGAATCTATGTCACATTGCATAGGAATCTCCAAATTACATAATGTGGTATGCTCAAGGCCATATGAATAAATAGGATTTCATCTTCTTGAGTAATGACTTCTTACTGCATCACTTCTCTGCCAAGTAATGTAGCTTGGCAAGGTAGGAAATGACCTGTTGGAATTCCAGTTTTGTGTTGCTTTGTGCAGCCTTATTAAGAGAGGAACTAGGAGTAGGTCTAATGTGTTTGAAACAGTATCTCTGCAGATCTGATAGCAAAAGGAAGATTTGTTATGGTTTTCAGTTATCCTTCTGCAGAGCTGATGTTAGCTTCACAGCTGGACAGGCTGGGTTTATATTTAAGCGCCTTGTCATCCATCTCCTGTTGGTAGTTGAGGACCAACTCTACAGGAAGATGGCACAAGAGTTTCTTTGCTTCTGCTGCAATTCAACTTCAGGATCTGCCTTGGAAATAGGAGCATATAACTTAAAATGTTGATTGTTGGAGTAGTTCCAAGCACTATCACTGTTGGATCATGATCCATTCCTGAGGTACAAAGTAAGTTTATATTTTTATTTAAAAGAGTTAATTTCTTTGCAAAGAGCTCCTCTTAAGATGTCTTCAGTAGGTTTTTCTTTTCTTTTTTTTTTTTTTTTTTAATGGAGTAGTTTCTTCTATACAGGGGTATATTAATTTTGTATACTTAATTGATATTAAGAAGCTGTTCTTTTTGTTGTTGTTGACTGCAGTTATTCTGTTGTCTGGTAGGAGTACTTATCTGTTGGAGCAGAAGCACTGTTGCAGATCTCAACTTTAGTATTCCAGAGCTGATCTCTGGGAACTGGCTGCTGCATTTCTGTAAGCAGAGTTAGCCCAGGACTGGAGGAGGTCTTACATCACGTCCCTGCCTGTAGTCACTGAGACCTGATGATGGGTTAGTCCTTTTGCTCTTCAGTTGTCCATTTGAAAAATATTACTGCTATTAATCCCATACCTTGTGGAGTTAAATTTGTTAAAGGTGGTGAAATCTTTGGCTATTAGAAATTGAGAGAATATGCTCTTGGTCTGTAGTGAAGCTGGTCTGCTAATCAGCTTCCCTGTAGCTGTCTCAGACTTCATCTGTTACCGTCTTCCTGCTTGATACCACAGAATTAGCTTTTCTCCTGTGGTCCTAGCAGCTGTCTGTTGACAGTTATTTAGGGAGCATCTCCTGTTGATGTGATGGAGTTGCTGGGTTCTGCTTTTCGTGTCTTTCATGTCCCCTTCTCCCCACCTCACTTGCCTGCTTACAGCCTCCTTTCCTACCAAGCAACTTGCAGGATTCTTGTAAAGTGAGTGATCTCCAGCCTGCCAGGCTACTGGCTTGCAGTCTTCCACATCAGTCCAGGCAGCTGATTTTAAGGTTTTTTTGTTCAGCAGGCAGAAACACTGACTTGTATAGCTAGAGTTTTACGTGATATTTCCCTCTGGCGTCTTCACCAAAGCTGCACTGTGGCAGTACTTGGGGTTCACCACCCTTGACATGCTTTTAGGAGACACAGAAGGAAAAGGGTTTTCTTCCATTTAAAACTTTAAAAAGATCCAGGGACAAAAAAAAAGGAATCTGTCTAAAGGCTTGAAAGTACCAACCATCATCCCGTATTTTCCCAAGCAAGCCATGCAAGATACTCTACTTGTTCTTTGGGTTAGTCTGAGAAGTTCTGCTGGTAGTAGTCTCACCCAAGATGCTGATTAAGTCTTACCTTTGAAGACGGCTCTGTTCGATTTTATTTATTTTTAATAAGTGCACTTAAAGTAATTTTATTTACATAATTTGCACTGGTCCAGAAAGTAAACTTATTGCAGATATTCACAGAGGTGGGCCAGGGAGACTGGAGACTCACTTGTTTGCTCATTGAGAGACATTATAAAAATAGAATTATAGCTATGCTGTGTGGTTTGTATTGTTTTGCCTGATTTCTGGATAAAGTTGACTATTCAGAACAAACATAACACAATCCCCTAAGTACTTTGGACCTGCCTGCCCAAAACACAAT